TACCTAGAGCAGCAAGTAATAGCTGCACAAGTGACCTGAGCCAAGAACTTAGAAGACCAGGTGCTTAGTGATGCACCTGGCCCCTGAATATAGGAAATCTGGTGACATTATCAGAAGATAGTTTTTTGGCATATAAGCCCAGTCTCTGACCATGTAATGGGTAGTCTGGCCCTGGATTCAGGAGGATGTGGAGCTACCAGGAGAGAGCTGGCTGCAGCAAGGAACCAAGCCTGTGTGAAAGTGGTATTTAGGACCTGGAGGGATGGAAGCAAGCCAGCCTGAGAAACAGGGCTTGAACCCTATAGCCCCAGAGAGGTTTATGTTAACTTAGAACCTGGTAAGTCTTTTTTTGTGTGTGTGTTGGAGTTTTTCCTACCAGAGGACTGGGTTACGGTGACAGAGGAGAAGGTGTCCACAAATGGGGGTGCCTGTATGGCATTGCCCACTATATGTGACAGAAGCATAGCTGCAAGCTGGAGGAGCAGAGGCTGCTGGAGTGAAACTGGAGCCCAAGGAGGGGCTGATGCCAAGTTAGGGCCAATGCCTGTGCGCTGATGTCTTAGACAGTGGACTAAGACCTAGCATGAAGCCAGGGGAAAAGGGGGGGAAGGCTGTGACAGCTAAAGCCCTGACAGGTGCTCAGAAGCCTGAGGGAGCGCTTGCTTAATGGAGATGCGCTTAAAAGGGAGAGCACAGACCCCAGGTGGTGCAGACCTAGCTGTGGAGGCAGAACCAACCATGGAGGGAACCAGCGAGGCTACCTTCAGCCCCAGGAAGTAGCTCCCCAACAAACCAAAAGATAATACCAAACTTATGACAGATGAGAGACTGGAGGTAAGGTGAGACTGGAAAAGAGGCAGCAGGCAAGTCGCACCACAGGGGGCACCAGATGCCAGGGTGGTGAACCCCCGAGACTTGCTACACTGATGATATAAGTTGCCAAGAGATGCAAGTTATATGTTCCCAGAAAGAATTAACTGCACATCATGCTATACATACAATTGACTCCATGTGGCACCTAAATCACTTAGTCTTGGCACTTATCCTGCACATGGGAGCACACTTCACCTGACTAAAGTGAACTATTGGATGCATAGGTTACAATGAAAGGGAGCAAAGCTATAGGTTTATCATTTTTAAGTACTCACAGAATCCCAAGTCAAAAAACTCAGTTAAATATAAATGCTGTAGCTTCATGACTTTCCTCTTCACTTGATAACAGAAAAAGTAGACTTCATAAACAACTGGAAAAATTAGATTATGTAACTGAAGATTGGAATTCTTTAATTAAGCTGTCTGACTAAAAACTGGGATTTTGGCACAGGTCAGTTTGGTTTAGGCTAAGACCCAAGATGAGTGCCAAAACAGTTTTATCAGTGACCTGGAAACGGGAGTAGATAGCAAAATTGCAAAGTACAGATGTGGGCAATAAACTGGGAGATAGACTTCAGTGTTGACAAGTGCAAAGTAATACACATGGAGAAAAAGTTACCTCAACTATACTTACATACTAGTGTCCTCTGAATCCTTATAGCAGGAAAAAAGTGGGTCTATATGTCAGATGACTTTTGCATTTCATTTGAGAGAAATATAGTTCATCTAGCAGACAGAAAAATGCAACATCTAAATTATTCTTTTTAATAGTAAGTATTAACACAATTATTGGTGCTTCACTATCACCAAACTGAATGGAAGGGTTACAAACAACATGCCAGAAAAAAGAAGTTCTCTACTTCGCCAAGCTGGTTGCCAGCCATATTTGCTATTTTTGCTAAACATTGGGATGGCTTGTTCCTGTGCCCTCAGTAAGGTTTCTTTAATATACAACCAGCTCTCCTGGACTCCTTTCCCCTTCAGACTGACCTCCCAGGAGATCCTGCCCATCAATTCCCTTAGAGAGTCGCAGTCTGCTTTTCTGAAGTCCAGGATCCATACTCTGCTGCTCTGCTTTCTTCCTTTTTGTCAGGATCCTGAACTCAATCATCTCATGGTCACTGCTGTCCAGCTTGCCATCCACTTCTACATCCCCCACCAATTCTTCCCTGTTTGTGAGCAGCATGTGAAGAAGATCATGGCCCCTAGTTGGCCACTCCAGCACTTGCACCAGGAAGTTGTCCCCAGTACTCTCCAAAAACTTCCTAGATTGCCTGTGCACTGCTGTATTGCCCTCCCAGCAGGTATCAGGGTGATTTGAAGTCCCCCGTGAGAACGAGGGCCAGTGATCTAAAAGCTTCTGTTAGTTGTCTGAAGAAAGCCTCATCTACCTCATCCTCCTGGTCTGGTGGTCTACAGCAGACAACAACCATGGCATCACCCTTGGTGCTCTGCTCTCTAATCTTAATGCAGAGGCTTTTAACAGACCTATCTCCAGTTCTATTCTGGGGCTCTGAGCAATCATACAGCTTTTTTACATACAGCACAACTCCTCCTCCTCCTCTCCCCTGCCTGTCCTTCCTGAACAGTTTGTACCCATCCATGACAGTGCTCCAGCCATGTGAGCTATCCCACCAGGTCTCTGTTATTCCAGTTACATCATAGTTCCTTGACTGTGAAAGGACTTCCAGTTCCTCCTGCCTGTTTCCCAGGCTCCGTGCACACACGTATGGACACCTGAGGTAACTAGCCAATTGGCCTCGTTTCTCAAGAAGGATAAGGAGTCCTCCCCTGTTCCCCACTCCTTGTGCTTCCTTCAGGTCTCCCACTTTCCAACTTACCTCAGGGCTTTGGTCTCCATCCCCCAACAAATCTAGTTTAAAGCCCTCATCACTAGGTTAGTGAGCCTGTCTGCAACAATGCTCCTCCCTCTCTTTGTCAGGTGGATCCTGTCTCTTCCTAGCAATCCTTTTTTTTGAAACAACATCCCATGGTCAAAGAAGCCAAATCCCCACTGGCAACACCACCTGTGCAGCCATGCTTTGATCTGAAGGATGCATTTGTTCCTGCCAGAGCCATAGGCAGTGGAAGGTTGTGGCTAATGGGGCTTAGCCCCCCCCAGACTGGGTTGTGACAGCAGCTCCAGTGCCACTGCTGCCGCAGCGCTGCTTCCAGCACCCCTCCCTGCCCATTTCTCCACTGCCACACACACAGCACCAGCGTGCTGGCCCCGAAACGGCCCTGCAAGAGGCAGAGGCAGGGACAAGTTGATGCACTCCACACTGCCCAGCCTTCCCTCCCCCCACAGTAATATTTTCTAGTGCTGTTTATGGCCAGGGCCCTTCCCCTTGACCATAAGGATCGAGGAGAAAACCACCTGTGCCTCTGTCCTCTTCACCCTTGCACCCAGAGTTCTGTAGTCACTCTTGATCTGCTCAGTCACCCCTGGCAGAATCAGTGGTAACTTATGCAAAGTCAAATAGCAGGATCTGAACAGAGTGAGAACATGACACCCCAGAATACCTTGTACCCTGGTGGTCAGGGACTTACCTGGCATATAAGATTTTAAACCCACATCTCTTATCATACAAAAGAGGACATTTTACATGACTGTTCTGACTGCTGTACCATTAAATACACATTTCTCTACTTCCAATTTTACCAATTTCCTAGTTCTTCATTTATTTTGCTTTCCTTACCAAAGTCCATTTCCTTTGTTTCTAAGTCAAATGGAATGTTTTGTGTTGAATGAAACAGTTTTCCATTTCCTTGTGAGAAAAAGAACAAGTTTAAATTCCATTCAGTCTCAACCATTAATTTTCAGGCTTGGCTGCCAAAAAAAAAAGACTTGTTAACACAGACCTGGCTGTGGATGGTTTTCACTT